GGCGACTCGTCTTCGGACAGAATGACTACGGGGGATAGCGGCCGCGAGGCAGAGCCTGGCTCCTGCTGCATCTCCAGCAGCAACTGCTGCTGCTGCTGCTGCTGCACAAACAGCTGCTGCTGCTCCTCTTGCTGCTCGTCCTGCTGCTTCTGCCGCTGCTGTAAGTGCTGCCGCTGCAGACGCTGCTGCTGCAGGCGCTGCCGCTGCAGTTGCTGCTGCCGCAGCTGCTTCTGCTGCAGTTGCTGCTGCTGCAGTTGCTGCTGCTGCAGTCGCTGCTGCTGCAGTTGCTGCTGCTGCAGTTCATGTGTCAGATACTGATCACTTCTTGGCATCTCGAGCGGTGCAGCAGCAGCACCGCTTGTTGCCTGCTGCGTTGCTGCTGCTGCTGCTGCTGCAGCAGCAGCAGCTGCTGCTGTTGCTACAGTTGCTGCACCACCGGCTGCTGCAGTCGCTGCTGCAGGCTCGGCTCCCTGAGTGCGCGTGGAGGCGAGAGCAGCAACAGCAGCAGCAGCAGCAGCAGTAGCAGCAGCAGTTGCTGCCTGCTGCAGCAGCCCTGGCAGCACCTCCTTCATAACATCTTCGCATAGACCCCTCACCACCTCGCGGCACACGGAGAATCTGCTGCTGCTGCTGCTGCTGCTGCTGCTGCTGCTGCTGCTGATAGATCCTTCTGCTGCTAATGCCCCCCTAAGCCTTTGAGTTTGCTGCCGTTTCATCTGCTGCTTTCTGCTGCTGCTGCTGCTGCACATGCGGCGATTCCTACGTCTCCTGTGATCCTCACTGCTGCTGCTGCTGCTCCTGCTGCTGCTGCTGCTGCTGCTGCTGCTGCTGGTTGAACGACGCCTGCGGCGGCTCGGCAGCAGCAGAGAAGTGGGGGGCCCCTGAGGGGGTGTAGGGGCCCCCAGCTGCTGCTGCAGCAGAGAGAAAGAAACACAAGGAGGAGCAGAAGAGATGCAAGAGGAAGCAGCAAAGGAGCAGCAAGAAGAAGCAGCCACGCGCTGCTGCTTCTGCTGCTGCTGCTGCTGCTGCTGCTGTTGGCGCTGCTCATGTTCAACCTGCTGCTGCTGCAGTAACAGCAATCGCCCATCTCGCTGTCGCCGCATCCGCTGCTGCTGCAGCTGCTGCTGCTGCTGCAGCTGCTGCTGCTGCAGCTCTCGATAAGTAGCCGCAGAGGCGGCAGCAGCAGCAACGAAATTGTGAGAAGCAGCAGCACGAAAGTGATTTGCTGCATCTTGTGCTGCTGCTGCTGTTGCTGCCGCTGGTATTGCTGTTATTACATCTCCATCTGCTGCTTCTGCTGCTGCTGCTGTTGCTGCTGTTTCTGCTGCTGCTGCTGCTTCTGCTGCTTCCAAATCTGACATCGCAGCAGCAGCAGCAGCAGTACCTTCATAAACACCTGCAGCAGCAGCAGCGTCAGACTCGCCCCACTCTTCTTCCTGCTGCTGCATCAGCTGCCGCTGCTTTTGCTGCTGCTGCTGCTGCTGCTGCTGCTGCTGCTTGATGAACGAAGCCCGCGCCAAGTCTAAGAGCTTCCTCTGTTGATACGGCGAACCCTCAGCAGGTCGTTGCTGCAGCAGCAACTGCTGCTGCTGCTGCTGCTGTTGCTGCTCTTGTTGCTGCTGCTGCTGCTTCTGCTGCAGCTGAGTGCTTCCTAGGAATTTTGTATACGACCTGTTCTGCCGGGACTGCCACTGCTGCTGTTGCTGCTTTTGCTGCTGCTGCTGCTGCTGCTTTTGCTTTCGCTGCTGCTGCTGCTGCTGCTGCAGTTGCTCTGCGCTGCTCCTCCTGCTCCCTCTCAAGGCGGCAGCAAGAAGCCGTATGTGTGCCTGCTGTCTCTTCAGGCCTCTTCTGCTTCTGCTGCTGCTGCTTTTGCTGCTGGTGCTGCTGCTGCTGCTACTGCCGCTGCTGCTTCTGCTGTTGCTGCTGCTGCTGCTGTTGCTGCTATCATATCCTCGCTTCCACACTTGCTGCTGCTGCGCGTCTTGCTGCAGGTAGTGCTGCTGCTGCTCATCCTTTAGCTTCTGCTGCTGCTGCTGCAGCAGCAGGGGTTGGAGTCGCCGTTTTTGCAGTTTGTGAAGGGCCCACTGCTGTTGCTGCTGCTGCAGCAGCAGGCGAATCTACAGCAGCAGCAGCAGCCTCGTCCACATCAGCAGCAGCAGCAGCAGCAGCAG